GCTCTGACGTGTTTGCAAACTTTTTCTGAGGTGGGGTCAACAAACCCGCTCTGGTTACCTCACCTGACCTGACCCGGCATTTTTTTTTTTTTACTGAGATGTGCGCAATGAGCATTTAGGAAAAGTCACCAAATATGAGCTGAATGTCTCGCGGCGTTTGGCAATTGTACAAGAAAATCCTGAAAGGTCTCCCCGTCCGAAATAGGGTTAATGTGTATATGAAGAGTTGCAGATGCCAAACATACCCAGATCTAAGACTGCAGTTCCCAGTGCCGCTGCAACGTTTTTAAAACAAACATACATAGGACATGCAAACATGTTTATTTGCATCTGTTTTGGATAATAGCGACTCATGGCGCCATCACCCGCGATAACTGTTAGGATTTGAGATATATTTTTATTTAGGCCATTAGTTTGGCTGTAATGTTTATTAATATTAGTTGGGCGGAGTTTGGTAGTTTTTTATTTAACTTGTGGTATGTTGTGCTGATTGCGGGTTGTTCAAACCTTTCAAATGTAAGGACCTTATTGAACTCAACTCTACCCCTACACTACCCTACACACGACTGGACGCTTTCCAAGCCCACAAGCATCACGACGCCGAGATGGAATGTAGCCGAGAAATCACCCTCGCCATCTGCTCTAGAGCTAATCGTGTGGGGCGGCGTGTGGGGCGCCGCTTAGCCTATGGGGGTGCACTTCTAGTGGATGGGGGACGAGGGTGCACCTGCACCCCTTTCATATGGAAAGTTACTTCCCTGATTACAGCTCCCCGTATTGCACCTAATCAGGGAACGGCCAGCAAACGAAGGAACTATTTCTGGATGACAGGCGAATAACCGCTCACGCAAGGAGCGGAGCTCCGCCCCGTCCAAAGTGGCCAACAAAGCAGAGACAGAGGCAGCATCACATCTTCCATCAAAGAACTGGTTTCTGGCTTGGAAGATGAGCGCCATCTTTGCATCCGAGTCGGTGCTGTCAGGAATCAGCTGGTCTAATGGAGTGAGAGTAGTGAGACGACTAGCTATTGTATCAGAGCTACCTGGTCTTCGTAGCATTTGCACCGATTCTTCTCGATCGGACTCTGAATTCTGTCCCTCGACCCTCCTGCGTATTACTTGAGGCATTGCTATGTAGCTAAGTCTTTGGCACAGAGTTTCATTATCCATGCTTTGCAAACAGTGCCATAACAACACAGTTAATTAATCACCAAGCTTCTTTGCAAGTTCCAATACAGTTGAATCGCACGCGATTTAAGTGCAAAAATCAAGAAAAGTGCCAACTTGTTCCCGTAAAATATTTTGAATATTGACCTAAAAAAATGAGTAATTTCCAGATAAAATAACAGCGAAATCAGTTTTCGCTTGCCAATAAAACTCACAGATATTGAAGCTCCATTATTAAAGGAACATTTTAGTATATGCCATTCTTGATAAAACTTCTTAGCTACGCAATACCAGCGCAAAATAAAGAGACACTGAAAACACGACCAATCACTCCGATTTACCATAGGAAAATACATAGAAAATGTATGTCTCAACTGCGCCAAATATACAGACAGTTATATACCTACATGTGACGTCATGATTAGCCCGACCAATCAGAAGCAAGTTGTTTTCAGCCACAAATAATTAATTTCTGAACTAACTGGGCATTTTTTTAACAAAGTGATTTTAAATTAAATCATTAAAAATTCTGAGCTTTTTTATTTTACCAAAACATACAGAGCATGCAGATAGGTACCAACCCTATTGAATGAATATGATGACAATTAATTAGGTAGGCACCTTCTATCATTCATCCCTCATGTGCTAGATACGCCGGCTGATATTCACTACACCATTCAGCCGGGCGCTAGTCCAAGCTTGGTGCCAGTTACGCCGGCCGACATTCACCACACCACTCAGCCGTGCGCTGGTCCAAGCTTGGTGCCAGTCACGCGCAGACAGGAGAGATTCAAAATTAAGAGAGGCCAACTGGTCTTCACCTCTTCAAAGTTGTTAAATGGCCATGCAGTCTTGTCCTTCAGACAATAATTATTTAGGCCCATGCACCACCCGGCTTTGTAGGGTGAACGCGACACCCGGCGTGAGAGGGGGTGTGGGGATTGCCTCCTAACCCGCACGATAAAGAACCCATGGTGTAGTTCGTGAAGAGTAGGCCATGTGCCGGCACCATGGCAAAATTAATCCCAAATCGAATTTATTGTCTTGATGGAGGACAAAGTGGTATCTTAACAACCCTTTAAAGTAACTATAACGTAAAACTTATTCTAACAGTAGGTAAAGTAGGTCCCAGGATCCCACTCACCTCCCAAGAAAGCCACAACGCGTTACCGAGCACTTTAAAGGTCAAAATTTTAGAACTCACACACTTAATTAAAGTAAATGAGCACTTGCAATATCAAAATTCTAGCAATTCGATATTTTTCTAGCAAACAGATTCTTTACAGGCGGCCGAATGTCCAATGGACAGGGACGCCTCAAAACCTCATTTTCACCTTCTCTCATTCATCCCCTGCCACTTGGAGGAATTACTTTCAGTAGAAAAAGACGCATTATTTTGTTTGTTTATTTATTGACACAAAACACAATGATAGCACCTCGCTGGTGCAAATAATTGCTAGATAGATGTTGAGATGTGTTGCCATTGAAGAATCTACTGATTTTCCTAGCGGCTCTCGTTTTCAAGTAACTACTGGTCTTGTAAGATCTCTTGATTGCTCACCGTCTGGCGTCTTCCAAGTTCCAAGGTTTTCTGAAAGCTAATCAAACGTAACCATGACTGCTTTTTTATTGCATGGCGCTTGCTGGTTCTGCTTAATTGGTGGTTTTGCGTCTGAACCTGTTGCTTCATGTTCCATCACATCACATAAAATTTCTAATGGAACATACACTTCTACCTTTTATTTCACTATCAGTTGACTTGCTTTTACCTCTGTGGCCTGCTCGCCCTTTTATTTCCACGCTGGAATCTATCAATTATTGAAAAAGCCTCGGATAAAAAAGCAAGAAAAGTATGTCAAGTTAAATAATTGAGACGGTCCTATAAAACCAGAAAAAAAATCAAAAAGCCTTCACTTCCCTCACTTCATAACAAAAACCAGGCAGCAAAACATGCGAAAGAGTCCTTAGCAACGCCCTAGCAACGCATGTGTCTGAAGTGCGCAATATGTGTCACATCTGGAAAATTTAGTAGCTACTTGATTATTCAACTAGAGTTGGACTATATTAGCTAGGCTTTTATATAAAAATAAGTGTTTGCTTATCGAATTTACAGCAACTGGTTGCTTAACTTCGAAATAATGAATTATTACAGAAAAAGCTTGTTTGCGACATATTTGTAAAGAAACAACGGAAATAGCTTTGACTCGTGCGCTATTCTAGTACATTTTTGGTAGAAAACTTCGTCCAACCTTATGTTTTAGGGCCTTGGCTCGAGTCGTGACCGGTCACCAAAAGCACACAGTCTTCCAAGTTCGATGGCTAAGGAATGTCTTATGAAACTATGATTCTCGTATATCATTAGAATCGAGCGCAATCGTTCTTCTAGCCAGAAAATGAATGATTAGGTAATTCTGGGACACTCTGTATCTAAGACACTTTGTCATAATAATAAATCATTTGACGCCATAACCTACTAGCAAGGTGAGTCGTAATCGATGCAGCTTCGCCAGAACCGCTGTGAAAAGTGTGGAAGCGAGTTTGGCTCTGACCGACGATTTTTAAATACGGAGTGATCTAGAGGTAGCTGGCAGAAGATGAGCTTGCAGCTGCAAGGATGACGGCTATGTAAGCTACATTGCATTCTGACAATTAGTCCTTAAGATACAGAAAAAACTCAACCCTCGCCGTCGGGGGAGGGGTTGCCGCCCCCCATAGGTTTTTTTTTTTTCACGATAGCTCCAAACACGCTGGCGATAGAGAGCTGAAACTTGGTATACCTGACCTTTGATTCAAGCGGGATCTTTTGACACCAACCGCATTTTCGGGTCAGGTCAGGTGACCTATGACGTCATAAGTAAACCTCTGCACGGTCTTAAATGTCGCAACTTCGCAACGCCCTCACTGCCAGAGGAGCTTTCACAGGGAAATTGAACTTGCAGGATCCAGTATCCATTACGAGTCTCACAACTTGTATATCTCGGATTTTTCCTAAAGGTCATATGAGGTCAGGTCATTCTCGTGACCTCACAATTATAAGTCAATTAGCAGTTTTCATTTTTCCCCATTGACTAATCTGGCGCCGGGAACGATCTCCAACTACCTCAAGCACACAGAATCGTGATTTGATGCACTCCTTGCAAGGTTTGATGCATCACTTTTGCAATGTTGACCTTGCGTGTCGTCATTTATGACGTCATTAGGGTCATATTAGTTTTTCGTCAATAACTCCCGATCAAATTGAGCTAGCGAGTCGGGAAAGCCACCTATGGACTCGGGAAGACCTGCCGAATCGAATGATATGCGTCATGACCTCCTTCGACTAATTTCGTGACCTGGGGTCAGAGGTGCAAAAATCTCGTACGCTGTCACATGCCTCGAATGACACGCTGACCCTGTCACGCAATTTTTCTTTGACAAAAAGATTTATTTTAAATGTGTATACGCTCATTTCTTCCCAGAAATTGGTTTGTCTCAATGTGTACGCGGCGTTATCTATGAATTGTAGATTAAGCTGAAAATGAGACCTGAAAATGTGAAAGCTTAATGCATTGTCAATTGAACAAGCAACACGTTTGGGGCGTTTTTCCCATTACATTTATTGAAAGGCATTGTTCGTAATTACGGAGCACCAATACCCGTTCGTTAACGATTTTATCACACCAGTTTCTTTTACGTGAATAGAAGCTTTCAAGAGGCTTTGTCTTTCTTCGAAGGATGAGCTAATGGGGCACCACACTAAAAACAACAAAAAACGCTGTGGTGTTTAGTGCTGCTCTTGGAATCAGGCACGCACACAGCACAGTGCAATATGCCAACAATGAGCACTAAGACTACTGATCTCTGCAGCTGGCGGTCGATATTGTCCTTTCAGAAGCACGGGCCACAGCTTTGTCTTTTCTTTCAAGAGAAGCAACTCGGATGTGCTGGGTATAACGCGATGAGCGTCGTCCTCATGTTGTTGATGGTTTCCACCACCAGCTCTTGGCTCGCCTGCCGCTCCCACGGCAGAGCCTGTGTGCCCTGCACGGTCTGGCGTCTTGCTGGCGCTCCCGAGTACTCTATACATGTCCTCCAGCGCTCGAAGACGAACCCGAAATCCTTCATCTGTGAGAAGAACAAAAGGGCGATATATTAGCAAGGGAGCTTAAAATATCAGGAAATACGAGTTCGCGTAGCATTGCGAACAACTGAATTCATATTAAATTCTTTCCGTAGTTAAAATATCCCTACAGCTATTTCAATTACCAATTGCCATTACGATGCAACAGTGTTGAATTGTAGTTAATTATGAATTTGATGACATTGCACTACAGAAATTCTTCAAATTCTTAACCAAAAATCGCTTATGATTTGGATAGTAAGTCCAGCTATGAGCGAACAAGCGTCTTCTACGACTTTAATTGTCATTGTCACTAACCTTTCAGGATGACGAGCTCCTTTCGCAGTTCGGCGAGCTGCGTGGGACGGGTTTCCTCGGCCAGCTTCTTCTCCAGCAGGCTGCAGAGCAGCTCCAGGTTGCGCCAGAATACGGTGAAAACCTCTCCAGCGTGAGGAGCGAAGCGCGTCTCCGACCACAGCTTGGGTCGAAGAACCTTCCCGCCCACCTCCGCGCCGCACCGCATCAGCTCTTCCCAGCCCTTTCCAACAAGGTACCGTTTGTTCACGGCCGTCACCACATCGATGGTGTCTGTCACCCATGTTCATGAACCCAAGATGCTATTATTTCAAACAGATAACACACATTTACTCACTGGTTCCTGCCAGAGGCGATAAACCGAGCATCGGCATCAAGGCGTTCGCATCGAGACGATTGTGTTCTGGATCAGACTCAGAGGAGTCCACCACAGCAACGGTGTGCTCTGCTGACGGGCTTTCATCCTCGCTGACCCCACTGCCGGAACTTGGGACTGCAACTTCTTCAGCCGGAAGGCTGTTTGGATCATCAGTCAACTTAATCTTGCACGTTATACAAAGATAGTCGCCGCGTTCTACGCGAGAGTCATTAACTCGATCAATTAAAAGTTCCGATGCAAGAGTTAACCCGGTGCTTATGCGTTTTTTTGTGCCGCTTAAACGGATCACAACAGAATTGTTTCGGCATTGTGCGTTATACAACCACAACAACCACCCAATAAAACACGTTGCGCCGAATCTGGTACATCCGATGGCAGTCACACCGGTACTAACATATCCTCACGCATTGGCAGATGCAGAGCTCCGTTGCCCCGTTCTTATTGGGTGGCACGTGACCTTACCGCCCGAGGCAGTTCTCAGCCAGTGCCCGACCGCCCGCATCCCCGCAACGCTCAGAGTACCGACACCGCGCGGCTGAAACCTATTTTGTTGGTGTTAAAATAAAGTACTTATAGAAAGAACACCTTTCTAATATTTTGCATGTATTTTTGCAAAGACCTGAAATTTATTTTGAAACAATAAAAATGTCAAAAATTTTGGTCCCAAGGGCAGTTAGAGGCAAATGAAAAAGTATTTCAATTTTTTCTAACAAATAAAATTTTTATTTCTATTGTTTTCAAAGGTTGTATTAATTACTGGTTCATCGCAAGTTTAGCACTGTTAACCGTCTGTCGCTTGCTTAACCCGTTCTTGAGTTATAGCCCGTCAAACTCACCATTACAACCCGATGTTGAAAAAATGTTCTGCAGCATAACTCAAAACGTTCTTATCTGAGAAGTCTGATATTTTGACAGGCGTCTACTTTCGCAGTGAGCGGTGATAATGTGTTTTTGCCCTCTTCAAGTAAAATCCGGTAGATACAGAAAATTCGTGATTTATGTGAACCAGGCTTGTTTTATAATGTCACACCATCGTTATCATAAAGCTTAAAACATGCAAATTAAAACTGGGTAGACGATATGAAACTTTCTTGCAAGATTATAAGCTGAGATGCTGCGCACATTAGTTTGGCGTCCTAACCGGGAGGTTCGGGCCACCCATCCCCGGAAGGTTCGGGCCGGCTCATACTTCCCGGTTCAGCTCTGCCATGGACAAGGGTTATCAAATGAATATCTAAACGTGTAACAATTTGATTGAATTCCTCAGTGAAGACAGAATGTGCAGGAATTTTGCACCTTTGCATCAATGATGCAGCATGATTGATGCACAAGAACATGTTTGTGTAGCCGGGTGTTCGAGCTGCTGCCTACCTCTCCCCTCCCTCGCCGCCCGGCGGGTCGGCCGTTCGCGGCCCGCCGCTGGCCTGCAGCCGGCCGGTCAGTCAGCTGACCGCCCGCGGCTGCCGATGCTGTGCGGGTTGCCTACCTGCGAGGGGCCGTCCGGCTCCGTGCAGCGCCGGCCGGGATGGACAGATAGTTTTGTCGGTGACCTGCGCTAGTCTCCCGTTAGTTTCTGAGTAAGGGTGATGTGAGCTTAGCGGAGATTGTATTGTATCGGCATTCCCCAATAATTTACCTTCACAGTGGGTGTCAGACTGTCAGTGTCATGCCGCAGACATGGCAGCGAACGACGATGAAGGGGTCGTTTTCAGACTCGGATCTCCAGACGGCGATCGAGCGCATCCGGAGCAAGGAGATCAGCATTCGGGAAGCTTCCCGAACGTACAACATCGGATGGCAGACTCTCGACCGGTACCTCCAGGCCACACCGGAGGGAGAAAAGGCTTAGAAGGTGTCGAAGACCTTCTCTAACACGGTATTCAGCCAACATGAAGAAAAGAGCCTGTTCGACTACGCGGAAAAGAGTGCGGCCATGCACTTCGGCCTCACCAGTACACGATAGGCGGGCGGCCGCATTTAGCGCGACAAAAATCATTTTGGTGACCTCCGACAACAGCATACAACAACGATGCGTTTAAACTAAGAAATACCTGGGGCATTCAAAAATACCCAAATAAGCTTGCTGGCATAATGCCATCAACGCTAAAATGAGCGAAACATTCGACAATGTTTACCATCCATCACATGGTGGTCAATATGCTATGCTCAATGCGCTGTGTTCGTTGCTTTATCAAACAGAAACTGCCCGGCGGTAAGCCTATTTTCTGAAGTTTTACGATGAACAAGGACATAGTCAACGCAGAGACAGGCATTTCACTTCCCGCAACTCCCCTGCACAATATCTACATGCATTTTTGTGAGACGCTACGAACAAGGCTTTAGAAAATCAAATTTTTATTTTCAAAGAACCTTAAAGTTATCATTTCCGCCGATTTCCGCGACGTAATTCTTTGGTTTAGTTAAAATGAGTGTTTATCTACAAGTTGCGATAAAATGTAGCCGCTAATAGCCGCGATCTTCATAATTATAACCATTTTTGTACGACACGTTTATGCCCGTGCACACCGAGGCACGAGGGCGGCCGGGCGCCTGGGCCATATGAGGCATGTCGCTGACCCCACACGTGGGCTTATTCCGGGTCGCTGATTGGCTCGTTGGTTGACATGTCATGTGACACAGCTGACAGTGTTGTTACCGGTTACAATAAAATCGATTTTTCTTCAGCTAGATTGGTACGGACTGACTTAAGTTGTCCCTCAACCCTCGCCCGTATAGAGGCGGGGTCAAACGGACCCCCCTCGCCTCGGTTTTTCGCGAATAACTCGCGTAAAAAGCGGCCGATCGCGACGAAACTTTCAGTACCCTAGCATTGATCAATTTTACACCTACCCTCAAAATTTCATGACCCTGACCCAAATGACCTTTGACCTGTGACCTCTTTTCCGAGACCATGTTTGGCCGGAATCGCGATTCGGCGTATGTCGGCTCGCATTAGCCGCGCGTTTGCAAGCTTTTCGTGGTTTCAAACGTTCAAACATGTGATTTGATGTTGCTTCCATACATAAGGGTGGTTGTCAAGGTCACCTGAAGGTCAGGTCAGGTCATTGACCTTTGGTGACCTCGGGTGACCTCGGTTCACTTTTTCGAGTTTAACATGTTTCTAGGCTAGTTTTTGGAGCTGAATTCGAATTTAGCAACCATTTGAACATTTACGAAGTAGTTTTGGCGCCTTCGTAACATGTTACGAAGCTGTCAGAGGCGGTTGACACGTATTACAAATACCCGTCACAACCCCTACCGGTTGACCTGACCTGACCTGACCCGACCTGGTCTAAATGCTTAAAGACATCATCTCTGATCAAAACTAACACGATATTCGTGATCAGCATCCCCGAAAACCACATGACAACCACACTTTACGACTTTCTAACAGGTCCCGATTTTTAAGAGAGTTTAGCGTAGTGAGGAAAATCATCATGATGATTATGAGCATATTTTTAATTGACCGAATCCTCAATGTAATCTGAATAAAATGACAAATAGCAAAAATTCGGGTATATTCGATCACAGATCTTTGTCAACCGATACCAGCAGGCGCCACAATTGTAGAAGTCAAAATACTTTTTGTTCAGTACACATGCACAACAGTAGATATGTCCTCAGGGAAAAGATTTATGGTTGGTAATTCTAAAAGTCGCAGCAGTCAAACATAATATGTACAGGGAAAAACCTATACACAAGATTAAAGTGTGTGTGTGCCTAAGCATATACGAATTTAAGATGAAACAATACTTGCGGAACAATTAAATGGGCAGCAAGTTACACTCTTACCCTGGACAAAGTTAGGGCACATATAACATTTACACTGTGCGAAACAATTAAATGAGCATATTATACATAAATGAACATTATATACGTAAATGCGCATACATGAGCGTATTATCATACTATGACTACTCATACCCTGGACAAAGTTAGGGCGCATACAGCATCTATGAAAACGATCTACACAATCACTTTTTAACGTGGTGAGCTCTTGAAAAATGCTAACCTACTTTGGAAGTAGCTGCCAGGAGGTGCTGTTATCGTTAATAGCTGGCATCCTATCGCGGATGGTGATGGATTCAGCAATCCTCCTGTCAGCTTCATCCTTACATTTGCGTACGATGCGTGCTATCAGAGTCGTGTCCGTTGGGGTCAGGTCTGGGTGCTCGTGCGCGAAATGTTCACCCATTGGTGTGCCTAGTTTCTTGTTGGTGCCATCTCGTAAGTGTTCGTTATATCGCAGTCGTATTGGCCTACCGCTTTCTCCTACGTAAGTTTTGTTGCACAGACTACATTTCAATTCGTACACTACGTTTTTCGTGTGACACTTTCCCCGCAGCCCAGCTTGACATGCGTGGCAGTGCTGTCTGCCTGAAGGACACGGTGGGTCCCGATTTTCCCGGTTTTCGGGTCATTGACCTGACCTGGAAGGTCACCCGATGATCTAGGACCTTAAAATTGGGTATCATCGGCTTCCTCTCGTGACGGGCAACACGCTCGTTTTTTTCCGCGAAGCTCTAGCTCGATCAGGGGCCAAACGCGAGGGGGGTCGTACCCCCCCCCCCTTGTGCCGTCGAAGGACGCAAAATGGCCTGTGCCGGCGAGGGTTAACCCGCGCGGGCCCGGGAGGCGTTTTTCGCCCCCCTTTTGGCGAATATTTGCGATAGCTCCCGAACGCTTAGGGATAGGAAAGCGAAACTTTCAGTACCTTTTCTCCCATCAATTTGACATCTTCTGAAGTAAAAAATTTGGACCTAGCCCCCTTCATGTCATCACAAGGTCCATTTTTCTAGACCCCTGCACGGCAAACTTACTACTTAGCGTCACAGACGCAAACTTCAAATAGCTGCTAAAA